TGGGACAAAAGTATGAAGGCGCTGACCTCCGATATGGCGTAGGCGGGCGCTCTCGACCCCCTGGTTGAGGGGCGCAAGGACCACAAGCATATAGGGCTGGAAACCCTTTCGGACATATAAAGAAACCGTGAGCAATGACGAACATGTGAGAAGCTACTTCTATAACTATAGTGCAACACTTCTTTTTACCCCCTATTCCTTCATTGTTATTGTATTCTCTTTATCCATACGTTGTGGCATGCAGTCTATTGTACTATTGGTCAAGTGCTATATATATATATATGTATAGTGGGCGCTCCACTTGTTTATTGTGTCCACTATATATTAAGGAATCTACTTCCTCCCACAGAATAATATTGTTGTGACCTGGAGATTCCAATGTTTGTCTGGATACAGTGTGCAAAATAGTATAAAAATCTAATATTATTTTGTACCTAGACAATGTAGGGAGCTTGCCTGTTTGGACGACAACTACGTGTGTTTGAGTCAACCAGACGCGACGCATTTCGCGTGCTACCGGCTTTCCCGCCTCGAAGAGTCCGCTGTGTCTCGGCTGACGACCATACCTTTCGCTTAGCTAGAACCTTTTTACGGTGCCTTTAGCTGCCGGGTTTGTGCGTCTCGACAATAAACCTCTGTCTCGGCTTTATATATTCGTCTTTTTCCGATTTTTCCTTGAGGCGGGACGAATCTGAGTTTATAGCGACTGAACGATTCCGCTATATTATCATGGTCATGTCACATTCGACCGCACACCAGAAGAAAGTTATAGGTATAATGTGAGAGATAATCAACTCGCGCAATACCTGTGTAACATTTTGCATTCATACCATTTTTGCACATCTAATGTTGCTATTCTGTTAAAATCGTAGTTGACAGACTAAAATGTTGAAAGCGTACCCATACTTGTGTATAGAAATAGATACTGACTCGGCGTGCGACCCCATTCTAAGTGACGGCGTGCGCGGTTTGAAATTCGTGGCCTTTTAGGCGATGGCACGCCACTGCCAGTGTTACTCAATTGTCAGTGTCCCAACTCCAAGACAGAAGGACCACATGGAGTCTTATAAATTTGAAGAGTTTAGTCTTCTGTATTGTACCAAACAATACGACGCACACATCCGAATGCCTTTTTACATGTGAGCTAGAGGACAAAAGCTGTCGTCTTTTTGAATGTAGCAATGACAAGAATCGCAGACGGCTCCATACGCCGCTCTATCCATGAGCACGTCAGTAGCTTCGCACCTATCAAGTACAAACGCTGCCTCGACGAAATCCTGGTTCAGTCCCGATTTGCAACTTATTAAAAAGATGCTGCGGGAAAGCGCTACCTAGCAGCCCTTAATACGTTTCCCGGCCACCCGATGGAAGATAACAAACAAAAGCCCTTTATATTGTCGAAATATTCCGGCCTATCTTCAGTTGCCATTTAAGGAAATGTCGTGGCAAAACAAGTCGAGTGACGTACAGCCACAGAAATTCGACAGAGGTTCAGTGCTCCCAAGCTGTGGCTCCCCTCGGCAGTCAGGAAGTTACAGACGCATGCGGTCAAGCTTACCCAACCGATCTTCGCCACAAGACATTCCACGTACCACTGGCTGCAGCTGCGAAAGCAGTTACATCGGCAGAGCAGATCGGTGTCTGCGTAAGCGGATCGGAACAAATTCCGAAATGGGTTGCGATCACTATGGCAGATCAAACTCGAGGACGAATACCAATCTAATTTACTGCCAAAAATCTACATAGCACAGGTCATCAAGTCGACACTGACTTGACGTTTACGGTTATCTGCCGCAATATAAACGCAAACATACTCAAGCTTGTGGAAGATGTCGCCGTCAATCTCAATTGTATGCCAAGTAGTTGTCTGTCACATTCAGACTTCCTTGGGGATCGTGACAAACGTTTCACAAATTGCAAATCTACTGAGGTCTGCACCTTACCCTTCTTTTTGTCAGCGTTCATATTATTGATTTGTTCAGCGAGTGATGGTTTAGCATGTTTTTGGTTTGCACGTGGTTAGATTGCACGAAATGCATTCTTCTCGCAACTCCTTGATTGCCATGTAGCTCTCGGATTCCAAGCAGCACCGTTGACTTATCGGAGCATTCAGCAACTGGTTTGATATGTCAACCGATTTTGCACGGAACCATCCGGCATTTCCCACTGGTAGGTTGCATAGCTTGTCATACAAGTACTCAAAACTAACCTGTGTTGAGCCTATCAACTCCTTTTGATGGGAATCAGAATTTCATCCCCATCGAAAGAATTTCTAACTATCCAAGCGTAAACCTAGTCGAAGACAGATAGTGTATATGTCTCAGTATTCCGGTGGGGGAACGGAGCATCCGACACTTGAACCAGCGAGCAGCCTTCGCAATACCCTAGTCTTAACACGACATAAGGTTTCGGGACAAAATGCCTCATACTTGAGCCGGCTGGCTAACGACGATTCGCCATTCATCCCCACGAACCGCTTTTGTGTCCCCAGAAACTTGTGTTCTAGTTCAACACATGCGTCTATATGTGCGGAAGCAATCCTAGCCAGATTCAATCTGTTAAGAGCTGACTTATTCCTCGACGGGGATCGTAACATCAAAATGAGAGACGCTCCGAAGTTACACAAACTAGAGATTCCACTGCGCCCGACCATGTGTATGAATAATTCATCTTACTACAACGTCGCCTGGTGGTTAGCGGAACTGCCGGGACCCGTTTAGAGCCCGCTGTCAAAATAGTGCTTGAAGGTTCCTTTGCGCTAGATGCAGAGCTGATGTGTCCGATAGATTTGCATTCATTATTCACCAGTGTGTCACTGTGACAGTTGACAATTTATGCCGATTCTTGCAGAGCCGAAACCTGTTCAATGGTCTCGCCTTGGAGTGTCTGATTGATTTAATGCTGTTATGCGCACGAAATGTACGATGTGTTTGAAGGGACTGCGTACAAACAGATTGATGGTGTTGCAACTGGCAGCCCGTTAGAACCAGGTTTGGCGGGTATTTTTGTGGAATGATGGGAAAATTACTGTCAGTTTCACGAAGCGAAGCTGTACAAACGGTACGTGGATGACGTCCTAGTCTTTACTACACCATTTTCCGGCCAACTTGTCCTCTTGGGCAACAGAAATAATCTGAGGGGGCATTCAACATGAGTCTACTCAATTAATTTGTTCCGTGCGTACGCCAGTCACTTGTGCAGGTGTGCGTGTATAACCCGTCGCCTTCAGTCAATTGGATCTCAGACGCACTAAGTCATAGGGGTGCAGGTGGGACGCTTCAGCTCCTATGCACGGAACAAATTAATTGAGTAGACTCATTTTGAATGCCCCTTCAGATTATTTCTGTTGCCCAAGAGGACAACTTGGCTGGGAAATGGTGTAGTTGAGGGCATTTTGAGCGACTTGTTATCCTCTTAAATTCTGCACACCCTGGCCTCTCTGTGACACTTGAGGTTGAACAGCAAAGCGGTTTAACGTTTTAGACGTGCTCATTAGAAGGGGGTGGATGGCACACTTCAGCGCACCGTCCTTCGAAAAACGACTTGAAGTGGGCAGTATCTGCATTCCTCTAGTTTCGCTACAATTGCGCATAAACGCAGTCTAGTCAAAACCCACTTCTGCAGAGCCATACGAAGTTGCACTATAGGCACGCTTACGGCCGAAATGGAGCTCTTACATAAGACTCTAGTGTCAACTAGGTACTCGGATAGATCCATCCATGTTCATAGCTGTTCGCCCAAGGAGAAACCAACGATTCAGATGGCAGAGAAGAGGGATGTTAACTTGTTTCCATCGTTTGAAGGAGATCACTTAGCCAATGATATCAGGCATAGGAGCAGGTTTGCGCTCTCGCATAACTACCCCACCGCCCAGTTGCGACTGCTCCAGAGCACGCGAAGACTGGATCTCAACGACCATCCGAAAGGCTTGTCAGGCAATGCGGCCTCACATGTAGTCTACCAATTAACCTGCAGTTACGATGATGGCTATATAGGCAGTACTGATCGTAGACTGGCCCTTATGCTGGTTGAACACCTCCCAAATTGGCTGCGGCAAACGCTGACATAACAAACGGGTGCGTATCAACTGAATAATCGCAGCCCTGCCACGTCTATTGTAAGGCATCTCATATTGACTTGTCATCACGTGCATCAACCGATCGCGTTCGAAGTACTGTTGCGCGACCTGAATCCAACAAGACTGTCAGCACCGAGATCTTACTTATCTCGAAGTATCGCTCGGTGTTCTGTGCACAGAAGTAATCTGTCAGATCGCCTTAGTTTTGATTGGTCACTTTGTTCTACTCTGGGTTCTACATGTTCGATTGCATATTCGTCAAGAGGTCATAATCAAGTGTAGTCCTAAGGGCAACACTGTAATGATTCGGCAGATGCACCTAGTTATTTCCCGTTACATATATACTACCTGCATTGTACCAAACACGTGCACATTGCTTTAGAAGTTAACACAGGATAATAGACTGCCGAAAGTAGGAGTACACATTTCACATAACAACTTTAGAAATACTTGCTATCATGCTAAGCGCCTCATTTAATCACCACAAGAACAAAGACGGTATTACAGTTCCAACTGTCATTTGTGCCTCTTCGCTGACCAGATAACTGTGAATTCATACAATGCATAGAATCAACAAGGCGGATACCGTGCGAAAGCCCGGTGCCATCGAGGCAGATGACGTTCACTTTGCCAGAGCGCAGAAATACATTTTCTGTGAAAGCCTGCCGTGTGTTTCATCGGCAGTGTGATATGGCGAAAATTGCAAAGCAACTGATATCCTTGGCGTCGAACTCCCGTTGTACATTATGGGTGAAGAACACGCGCAGCAAATGAGATCCGTGGATACTCTACAGGCGTGCAGACCGTGCCTAAATTGTCGTCTGATTAATCATGAAGAATGGGAAACCCCACAACTTTCGTGGTTGAAATGAATGTCGTGTTCAACAGATATATTTACAAAAGCAACATCTCCGTGTGTACACTAGGAATCAAATAAGGTGTGACGGAGGTAGTACCGATTATGTTTGTAGACACAATAGTGCTGAAAAAGAATGAAGGAAAGTTGGAAGTTAAGCCCAACATGGGAACGGTGGAAGGGAGAGGCAAAAAATATACGGCGAAGTGTGACCTGTGATGAAAAGCCAATTGTAAAATATTTCTACGAGAGAAGCAAAGACAAAATAGATTCGGTAGAAACAGCAATCGGGATGATGAATGACAAAGAGGTATGCAACAAAGTTGGTGTGACAAGTAAAGCGGAATGAAAAGCGTTGTTCAACTCAGGCTGGAAGACATAATGGTGCGCCAACAAGAATGGCCGAAAAACGGACGTCACGAGGACCGAAAGTGTGATGTGATCAAGTAAAGCAACACAGACACATTGATTTTCATCTAGGTCACTGAGTAACTGCACCATTGGATGCAACCTCCAGTTATGAAGCTTGCTTGGAGAGGGGAGTTACGGAAGACTGACGAGTAGATGAACAGGAAGTAAATTATTCCTGTGTGGAACACAGATTGTGGTGGAAAGCACAACACTGTCAAGAGAGAAGTGTTTGATGCTCGCAGTATACATGAATCGGTGGAACGTCGCTGACAGAATAACTAACCAACGGGTCGTAGATATGTAGCTCTAGGACGGCAGAACGAAACGAAACCATCTGGATCATGTGAGAACACAGAGGGTTAAAGCTCTTACCTCCAGTGGTAGCTAATAGACTCGTGAATGACTACGCATAGATGAAAGTAAACGCCGCGATGTTCTAGTGACTGACAGCTTTCAAGCACCATAGTCAAGCGACAATCGTGGTCAAATTAATGGGTGAGATCTCTTTATGGATCCCCAACAGTAGAGTAACTGCTGTCAATATTCGACATCTCCGGTGTCGGCGTGACCCGTCTTTCACTAAAAGGCCGAGGGTACGGTACGAAAAGTACTCTTTCAGGGCCGAAACACCTGTCCCGTTCGAACTAGCGACGTTCAGAGACAGGCCGTAATTGATCACCGCTGCCTCTGAAGCATCGTTGGTGTATGCTGGTAGGAGCGCACTAATAATGATGTTCACAGTCAGATTTTCAAGTCAAGGAGACTGCTGACTGCTCAGTTTAATAATTCCCCTGCACAGACTTCCATGGCTCGATCATGTGTTTTGCATATCGGCTGCGCCCTCTATACGCGCACCGATGTTGACTAGAGCCGACGGAGAGGTGGTTAACGCACAATTTGAGCTCAGGATATCAAGGCGCTGACACCAAAGTTAGCCGCAGTATGGCGTTCCCTACTCCATGGTTGGAGACTCAAGCATATTGAGCACACCTGGTTGGAAACTTTATCGGATATGGCTAAAAACAACACTCGATGGCGAACGTGTTGTGAGACTCGCCTCCATCGATTTTATGCATGTGTTGTGGCACGCTTCCAACTGTGCACTGGTCAAGTGTGGAAGTTATATGGTTGGCGGAAACCGATTCCGGATTTGCCTGTCACTGCGGCCTCCTTAGGACAGCCACAGAACGACGGCATCTACATAAGAACCATGGGTAGCTTGAGCTGCACCACCCACAGCTCCATTCACACACCACATATCCAGTGTAAATCCGAAGGAATAAGCCGGGACGCATGCGGATGGGATCCACGTTTTATCAACAGAGCCGGCCCACACACCTTCACAGGCAAACACAAGCACGCCGTAATTGGGAATCATGCGGACACAAGGTGGTATCTGGACCGTATTCCGCTCCACCCCGAATGCATGGAACCACTCTTCGAGCCTAGCACTGCCACGAGGACCGTGCGCCTCGTCCCTACCAGCAACGATTCATAGTCTCCTGGAGCCAACAAGCGAGGTGGAGGGTGCTAGACCGGTGAGTACCTTGTCAATATACGTATCAAACGCAGCCACACCGGGGATATCAAACAACCAACACAGAATTTGAGGGAAAGCAAACGCGCAAAATTGACACCGAATATGTACCAAAGTAACCGAATTGAACAGCGCCCGTGGGATTGAAGATGAAATCACGAATCGTATAGCAAAAACTAGGGGCGCTTTTGCTAACCTTTGCCACTTATGGCGCCGGCGCGACATCACTCTTGCCCTGAAGGGTAGAGTGTACAATGCAGCAGTACGTTCGACCCTACTGTACGGTTGTGAAACCTGGCCGCTTAAAGTAGCGGACCTGAAGAGACTAATTACGTTCGACCACCGGTGCCTTCGTAATTTAGCTCACATTTGGTGGAAACATCGCGTGAGCAACGAGCGTGTTTGACGCCTTGTTTATGGCACAGGAAAAGGAAATGAACCGCTCAGCACCGTTATTTCACGTATCAGGCTCCGATGGCTCGGTCACGTGTTACGCATGCCAGCCCACCGACTTCCGCGACGTGTGTTGTTTGCGCGCCGGGGGTGTGGATGGAAGAAGAGGAGGGGTGGCCAAGCGATGACTTGGTCCGGAGGAATGAAGACCCTCACTCCTGAGCTGGCCTCGGTTGGAGCGTCTCGGCTCCCTGGTTGGGGTCCGAAAGACGATGAACACGTTTGGCTGGACATACTTGCTGATATGGCTAGGAGCCGACCTCAGTGGCGTTCGTGCTGTGAGTTTCTTTGTCCCACCCCATCCCTCTTAGCCTCCCCCTCCAACCACGATCTCATTACTTAGCCTTATATAATTTTGCATAATAATTTTTTTGGGTGCACAGCAGCCGGCTGGTAGCTTACCGGAACGATGCCCATCCGTTACCGGTAGCTCAGCCAGCTTTCACCAGTTGTTTTTTCTCTCCCTTTTTCTTTGTATTGCGGCACAGTAGCTGAGATGTTTCCCACCTCTAGCTAACGTGTATGATGATGATGATGATGAACCGAATTGAACAAATCAAATAAAGTGGAATAACTTTTATCCAGATTAAAATGATCTGATTTAAGTGTAAATCGGTTTAGACCAACTGCAGTGAAGAAGCACATAATGTATGCAACATCAACCACAGCATGAAGATATATATGACAGTTGCAGGAGTTAAGGAAGTAATCGTAACTGTCTGGCTGATAGCAGTTCTTCAAAAGCGGTTAGTGGCGGAGTGAGAAATCCCTTTAGCAGCTTTATTGGTCGTGTAAGAGGAAAAGGGTGTTTCGCTGTCACGTCTGTTACTTTGCGTCAAAGTACTCGTTACTTGTGGTGGGGGTGATCGGCTTACGGACACCCAGCTCGGATGGTCTAATCCCATAGCGGACAGATGGAACGCACAATGCTGAGAACCCGAGAAAAGAGGAAACAGTCATCGTGTATTTACGGACGTATGATGGCTGCCTGATTGGGTTTAGATGTGGTGAAGTCAACTTATATCAACGGATTATGAACAAAATTGAGGAAAGTTGTGAACAGTCCCCAAAACTGTCCATATCAAGTGGGCTGTGTGCCCGTGAACCAAAGCCACGTGATCAGTTAACCAGAAATGTGCCCATTCACCGTTTAAAAGAAAACACTGGGAGTGCGGGGCCAATAGCGAGTGGGGTTTCGGTTTTCAGTTCAACACAAAATGGAAACCATTGGGAGTAAGCTGTCCAAGTCCGCAAGACCACACGTAAACCAGTGCACTTAGCAAGAGTCAATGCGAACAACTGGTAAAGCAAATGCTGATGGCGATTCAACCATAAGCAGGTGACATCTATGGAGCAGTAGTAAATAGTTATAAGAACAACAGGAAGTCCATTCTACGATATCGCATCATAACGACAGCGAACATAGTCGAGAATGTCCTCGGGTCAGCAAGTTACTCGATCTAATGCACATCCAATGGTTCGGTAGCGTTCGATCGTGAAGAAGCAAGGAGACAGAGCGAATACTAAATAATTCAATGCGCGGGAGGCGAGCAGATCAGAAGACGTGTACACAAGGCGGTAGAAAATTAGTAAGAGCCAAAGCATGTGCAAGCTGAATGTGAAAAAGTAAAACGGAAGCGCAAAACAGCTAACCTTGAGTACGGAGCACAAAATTTTCCGAGAAGGTTTTGGTACTCCCATTTCCTCCAAGCGGTCATATAAATCCTTTACCCGAAAAAATGGCTGCTTCTCGCACGTTTCCAAAACCAAATCACGTAGCTGGAGCAGATGAAAAAATCGATCGTCAAATTTAATTATGAGACGAAGTGCATCAGGGACATCGAAAGTCCACAAAGTGATACTGGGATGGCAAGACCGTTGTGTAATATGTTTCCATGCAAGGAGCATACATTAAGCGGTTGACAAGTGATTGGACAGATAATCGCATTCTGATTCGAGGAGATTGCATTACAACGGGCTGTTTTAAGAAGTGCTCATCAGAGGCTCACAATGAATGAGAAAGTCCCTAAGGATTAGTTTACAGAAATCATAAATCGAAACGGCCCCATGAAAATGCAGTTAGGGTCACTGTGCGTAAATATACAATTAGAAGGAAGGTAGAGACGAAGGATTAATTGAAAACGATATGTGGGAAACGTGTGCGTCGTTTTATGCAGTGCCTCAACTCCTCATGGTAAGCTTCGTGTAGAATGATGAACGGGAAAGCAAAAATGCGAGTGCACACTCAGAATTGGAGATTACATTTTCGATGGACCCCAGAGTCAGATATGAAAAAACAACATAGACAACAGAAAACAAGTAAACCAAACGGTTTAAACCGTGCGTCAGTCTAGGCAACAGCAAATATCAGCACACCATACTGGTGTTCCGTACCCGGTGAAACATATATTTTTCTTGACTATTCAAATGCTTTCGGGAGCGTTAATAGATGAATCCTGCTCGACCAGCAGCTTAATAGTGGAGTTCGAACATATTTCTGTTGCGTGTTTAAATACTAACCGCACCCATTTCACCAAGCTAAACGTAACAATGTTCGCTAAATGTTGCTCAGCTCGTGGTATTTTACAGGGAACGATTCTCTCTCCCCCATTATTTCCTGTATGTATCAAATAAGTTCCTATACCGTCCAAGTTTGTTGGATGCAAAAATGCCAATGACATCGTTTTGGGATACACTGCTTCAAACGTTGAGACATCGACTATACAGTGGCCCGGAAGAGTCTGTACTGCGGTCATAGTTCCACTCTCATTCGGAACACCTCTAAATATTGCGATGCAACGTTCTCTTTTCTTCAGGCTGATAAGCAACAAGCTGCCTTGAATACTACTTTTCACCGACAGAGTGACCAACTTGTACCCAAGACGCTCACTGTCAAATATCTGAGTGTCTTCATTTCAAAGCGTACTTTGATTTACTTAGGTTACCGAAACGTTTTACAAGGCTATGTTTTCATGCCATCAGACGACTTACAGTGCTTTCGATACCAAGTGATCTGATTTTTAAATTTGTGTCTGCGTGCACTTTGATCACTTACAAAAGCCACACATTGTTTATACAGTTGCTAAAACATATTTCTAACTGCAGTGGATTGTCCAAAGAGACTCGTTGATTTTACTGTCAGCGAAAACGCAGACGTGCATCGGCCTTTTCCTATAACTCTTTTCTTATACTCAGCCCGCGCGCGACTGGTGGTGGTTGCGCGGCAGCGAAGCGCCGTTACGGCGTACAGCTGACATATTATTTTTTTATTAGTATAACGTTTTAAACCACCCTTTCCATCCACTAGATGGTGAGCTATCTAAAATGCTAGGTGTTTATTCTACACGCCTCATGCTGGACCTTACCAAAATTCTATCCTACCGCAGTTTTCACGATTATTGTTAACTCAAATAAAATCACCAGTATATTGTGCAATTGTTTGCTCGATTGGTAAGCGTACATATTTTGCGTTTGACACTATTCGATTTTAGGTATTCAGTTCAATTGCAGTGGTCGTGTAAAATGTCGAAAGTGTGACGATGCGGACCTGGTTGGAACAGGAGCAACTCCACTGAATGGTAGTAAGAGGACCAAATACTTGAAACAAATGTACGAAGCATCATGCAGCAGCAATTGTACACACTTTGCGAACACAAGAGATTACCCTGTGGAGATGATGCGATACCATTGAGACAGCCTATTTGCAATCATCATCACGATAATAAACCCTGTCCAACAAAGGGATCAGTAGTACATGTGCCTCAAACGCACAATTCGGCTGTAAGGGAACCGCAAGCATGTCAGCGTTAGTAGTTCGGCTCGGTAACTTGGAATCCAGACGGAACAACAGGATCTGCGTTCGATAACCAGTTACTACAATTTCATTACCAGTTAAACGATCGACCCTCTCGAAGCTGACGCCATCCAACACCAAACAAAGCAAGCTCCGTGGGAAATGGGTACTCGCAGCAAGTCTCCGTTCTAATGAAATTCAGTCCGTTCTGTATGTGGATCTAATGAAAAATATCGAACAACACAATCCAATATTCACTTGCGAACCACATCGGTGTGGACACGTTGGTGCCACCTGAACAAAGCGCTGTTTCGTGGCCAATGATTGAAAGAGAAATGTGGAGTCTGCGACCCTCCGGTCCTAGTGACCAAGCTTCATTACTGAAATAAGAGCCGAATGGATAGAGAACGAAAGTCACTGTGATTTTGTAGAGCCAACAGGAGAAACATTATTCAGAAGTTAAGAATGTTCCCGATAACAGTTCTGGTCTTTAAGGTATGCTAAATGAATTGAGTCACATACTTGTCATTGGTAACTTAGCTGCCAAGATAGGCAAATTCACCAGATATTCACGTTGATTATCGTCAACACTTAGTGTGCTGAAAGTGAACAGCGCATACCGAAAAATGGTATTAGCTAAGATAACCTGCCATAGAACGAATCATAGTATCGCGGTTCTCAAACAATAAAAGACAATTCGGATAAATTATACCAACTAATTATTCTCCAAATGAGATAAAGATACCTGTGTTGTGAGGGCAATGATATTGGTTGCGTGTGATCAAACTTAGAAAACGCTTCGACGAGAATCGAAGATTCACAAGCAACAAGCATCTAGGTTTTACATTAGGTCTCCCTTCGTCCACCCTGATTATTCATAATTTCTTAGGCCATTCAGGCGTATGACAACGAAGCACTGCTATTGGCGATGATAAGCTGAGCACCATACCGTTCCCCAAAAATGAGTGTGAATATTTGCATGAAACACGATTACTCTGTTTAGAAGAGTGGAGAAAATCCGTTTCAAGGAGACCACGTAACGAAATGGATCAGTTAGGTCTATTGAGACACTAAAGTCTGATAAGATATATGCCTGTTTAGTTATTATCCTCAAAGAACATTGAAAACGAAGACCCAATGACGCCCGCAGAAACTTGAGTCAAAACAGCCCATTCGTGTGACACAAGAAGGATTTGCATAACAAAAGTATTGCCAAAACCCCAAGACTGCGCTACCTGATCCGTTGGTCAACAAATACAGTAAATAAGTTACCAAAACACACACATTCAAGTTGCCCTGAAATAAAATGACCGATTGAAATCCTATCGTTTCGTCTATCCGGCATGCTGTCTGCGTTACAGTATGCATAAAATAAAAAACCTGCTGAGACGCAAGTTACACCTCTAGCAAACCAGCTGAATTGCCCATACAGTTATCACTTAAGACCAAATGGCGCATCCTAAAGAATTATGAGAGCAAACAATCCAGGGCATCTTCCCGGATCGTTGGGACAATTTCCGTATATTTACAGTGTGACCAATGCATGGTTTGAACAAAGCAGACGTATAAATTGGTCAACCAAAACGTGTTTCTAGGACTGATGTGTGGTTTCATTGAGTCCATTTTTTGAAGTCGCTCCTCATCACCCTCCTAAAGAGAAGCCAAAAATGCAGTTCAGTCTTATTCAATGGATTTCCAATGGTGATCAAAAGGGATTAGACCCCATTACTAAAGGCACGAAATTGCTCCCACAAGTTGCGCCAATAGAAGTCAAGTCAGTTATGCTTAACTCTGCATTCTCAAGTACCGATGAACGCGAGCCCAACTCAGCTGCGCTTAATTATCCCTTGGGAATAGATTTCTCCATCCAACGCGTGCAGAACACTGAGCTTCGAGTATAGGTTTATGCGGAGTGCTGTAATTCTGCAAGTAGCCGAGACATACATTTTCCGCGACAATCGCTCTACTGTTGTTTGCATTGCGAGGCGGATAACAGACCGCACAGCCGCGCTTTCCCACCATCAATAACTTTTACACGTAATACAATTACTCACCTTGAAGGGTGCAATATGACGCAATACCATCGGGCTGTTGTGTACTCGAGATACAAAACCACTGACTTTGTCCTCAACATCAGCATGAATCTCTTCGTGGGTCTTATGCATGTGTAAATCCACAACATAATAACCAGTTAACCTCAGGGTCGTGCACAGAACAGCTTCTTAAAGTGGTCACATGAGACATGAGTTGATTGCAGATCACTCAGCCAGGCGCAGCGTCCCAGAAGCCACAACCAGACATGTGTGGTCTACTTGATTGTGAAAAATACATGGATCAAAGTGGACCGTCTAAACGCACAATGCGATCTAATGCGGCATCAAAGGGAATGTTCCCATATACTAACTGGTACCTCATTCACTCGGTGACTCCAACAGGTATGATGAGTGAGTAGACATGACAGATATTCTGATATCTTCCAACGTGCAAAGTAGGCATCGCTGATCCATACGCAAACACTAGACAGACAGCGGCGTTGCACGCCATGCCATTGGTTGATGATTTGACGCCATATGTGACACTTGGCAAGGTGTACAGATCACCAGATTCGATCAGCTGGCCATCGAAGGTGACACTGCTACCTAAATTAAGGTACAGAAATCGAACAACTTTCTCCACTATTCCATTATGTTGTACAAAATGATTAGGTTACGTAATCGGTCTGTCACGCAAGGTTGAGAAACATACCAAATAGATACCGAAATAAGCATAAAGCTGTGCCAGTCTACTAAGGGCGATTATAAGCAAAAGACAGCTAGGTGCACAAGCTTGTGTTCGGTGGTTCACATCAGGCCAGCACACCACAGAAGATAGGAATACAGCGAACACAGGGTATCTAAGCTTGATCTGATACTTCTATATTGTTCGTGTAAGCTAAATTAGTCAAAAGTTCAGCTTTGTTGACCAAATATGCGCAGTGTACAGAGGCGAAGTGGATCTGATGGCTTTGACTAACGTTGCAATAATGGTTCAGTATCGTTAGACAATGATGATTCGTGCACCGAAATGCGGTGGATCAGGCTACCAAGACTCGTGTCACCAGGAAAACAACAATCAACAGTGGCGAGAAAAAGGGATCTGAAAAGGCGATCAACATCTGTTAGTGGAACTGTTCGCTGAGCTTGGCAGTTGTGCCACAAAGGTTTCGACACCAATAAAGTTAACAGCGGTGCGTTGAGGTGGAGCGGGACAGCTCGGTCCACTCCACGTCAACGCACCGACGGTGTCATCTCGATTGGTGTCAGAAAGTTTGCAGCACAACTGTCAAGCTCAGAGAACAGTTCCACCAAAAAAGCGAACAAACTGGGCGAAAAGCATTCGCTTCCCTATTCATATTAATCGGGGTGAAATGTTGAAGATTGGATGCAACAACGTAGTAACTGTGTCATAGAAGATAAGGTTTACAACCACGGTTGTGGCACATCCATAAAGAAGATATTTTCCAGTCTGACTAAGCATTTGTACATCCTTCTACCATCACACAGACTGGTCATATCCCAGTTTCGCTCAAACAGGCGATGAGATAGCATATAATGCGCACTGATCAACAAGCGTACGAAGAGCATAACCTATCCGAAACACGCGGTTCGAGTTTAGTGTGCATCAGTGGTAGCAAGCAATTACTTTCCAAATGCCAAATGACTGACATCGGTATTGTGCGACCGGTGTTCCCACCAGATGTGAGCGTTACCGCGTACGCACTGATGACCGAAGAGCACCAATCTCTTCAGTGCGAAGTGGACATGTATTTGGAGCATACGGTAACACGCACACACTTTACTTAGGTGGATGAATTAAGGCGGAATGACGGACCACATCGGGCCGTCATTTAACCAGGCAGTCGGTAAACAACAGACACCGATGCATTCGGCTCGCAGTCATGCAGAACACCTGACTGAGTCACCGGCGAAGATTCGAGTTTAGCAAGCACTTCAGTGAGAAACAAGAGGGCCCGTTGTCGAATATCGAATGACGCCCTTCAACGTTATGCATTTGGTTCTCCAATCAATTGCTAGCAAAAATGCGGCGACCAAGTACAGTCAGTCTCCTAATGTCTTTAGCGCGTAGCAGCCAGGTCTCTGATTCATAGTGCGGCGCAAAAAGTTGAACCATTAACCTTATATTTCGCCGTCTTCATAAATCAGAGACGCCGCTTTGACAAGCCATACAAGCTTTTACAATGCGTGCATGAATCTCCTCGGTGATGCAACCACCAGAGGTGATACAGCTAATCAAATAAACAAATCGATCGAACAGTTTGAGCGGCTATTCCATAGTTGTGAAAAGTGGTGGAGTATCGGTCTAGTCCTGTACCTCTCACTTTGAAGATGCAAAGCACATGCGGAGGTACGCAGCACTGTGCCAGCCTATTCGGTAGCGCCTGCGCATGGCTCAAGTGCAGGCCACGTTGAGGAGGCAACTTTCATCTGGACTGAACTGCATAGGCAGGTGAATGGAAGTACAGGTAGTGCTAAGAGAACGAACGTATAATAGAAAACTGCGATCAATGGTAGCAAACATTTGACACACAATGTCACATGGAATGCAGAGGTACGACCATAGATGAGTCAGTTATTAACTATGATGTCAGCTGCAAAGTAAGAAGTGACATGTAGGGTAACCAGTTGACTGAGGGAGCCACCGGAAACCATGGTGACAACTAAAATGACACATAGAATAGGGTAAACGCGAGTTGATAACTCAAATCTCTGTTATACATGACAGAATAATAATGAAGGGAATATCGGTTGTGCATGTTTCAAACAACGGACACGATGCACTGGTGAATATGAGAGAAACCCGAACCAATGATGCGACAGAGAAAGGTACAAGGAGAAATAGGAAGGTATTAGATAAAATGTGTATCATCCGAACTCACTCGGTGGGTTTCCTCGGAAATGACTCCACACTCTGACCCTGCAACTTTGCTCGCGAATAACATCTCTTCCGGTCTAGCGTCTTTGTCAGTGGGCCACATCAGTTTTAAGAGGCGGGCGTCGACTTGAATTAGCGCTTCCAAAATGCGCGGTTTCAAGGATTCCCGTTCGGTTTCCGAACCGGGGGGAGGAGGCTCACTGCAAGTGGGTTTGATCATATTCCCCAGTGATTGCTGTGTGTAGCAGAAAAGTGTGAAGCGTATAATCCAAAATCTGTCAAGCGTAAAGCCCAGTTGTACGGATAAAAAGTGAACCAGTCAGTGGGGCACCTCGTTTAAAAATATAACCGAAAAGTACAGAAATAGCATAGGAAACGAGGTGTTGGAATAGCATAAGGTACAATTGCACGATAGCCAGTTGTTTGTGACAGTGTATTGTCTACACAAGGTGTAGGCAAATTGACCCTGAATGTTTGCTAAGGGCATTAAGGTTTTCAGGTAAGTCCCTCTTCTCTTCCTCTTAGTTTTCTTTATTTTATAGGTCATCATAGTTGTATGTCAGCGAAGCATCAGTTCAAATGGCTAATGTACTGCTGCTGCTGATGATGACTGTCACACACAATAAGCCGTAATTTGGCTGATGAGTGGTAGAAATGACTCGCGTGTTATGTGACCAGCATATTGCTTCTGTGTAGTAAATTGTTAAATGCATTTAAAGTATAAAACGAGCCTACTTCCTCCGCACAAATGAGCTAATTTGTCCGCCCGACACTTGAAAAGATGCGGGGGAAATCGAGGATAGATAGTTCACAGTCTTGGAAACACTCAGTCGATGCAGTTGATGGGTGATATTTCGTTTTCATACGGAAGTGTTGTCAAGCCAGGTGAATCAAAGTTAACATACACCCAAATGAGTGTATCCTCATCATTTACCCTACAACTGTGGAAGCACTGCATGATGGTATCAACCAATAATATATACAAATCGAAGTGTTAAATAGACAAAAGTGTACAAAGGTCACCCTTTGACTTCGAATCAGTATGTGATTGGTACGTTAACTATAGTGGACAAAGGCGACAATCGTGGTGAGAGGCATGAGATTGTTGTAGTTGCAGACCGCTCGGTTTGCGCCACCACCGACAAAACAGCGGTTGTCTACACGGCTAGAAAAAATAACCCCGGAATGCGATACATGGCAGTGTTTGTTGCAGTTGATACGGTAGGTCTAACAAGTCTAGAGCATATCCGTGAGGCTTGATATAGACAGTTTATGGGCACCCATAATAGCAGTGTGTGGAAAACGCTTCACCCCTTGTTGGTACAAGGAACTTCGGTGTCAGAACATATCATAATAGCTACTATACACATAAATACAATCGGAAAGACCATGATGATCAATGTCCCAAAAATGCGAGTCGCGTTAAATTGGAGAAAAACCCCTACGACTACTGTTATCGTTAATAAGTTGCTACGCATCTGCAATAGGACTTTTTGAATGCACGGCACAAAAAAGCACTAGAGACGTGAAATTCATAAGCTATGACAAGCACACAGATGCAAGCGGATAAAGGTTCGAATGGTAAACCTAGATAGTTGGGTTGTGAAAGGCGAACCGTCCAATCACTTAGATCAAAAATTTCCATTGAATGGATATAGGCTCCTCACGATGCGCAAGTATGGATGCGCGAGGAAAAATGTACTTATCAGAAAATGGCGAAAGCGTGTAATCCAGTGGGAGGTTTGTACAAGCCCATCCCATTATCACAACTGATCGACCTTTCACAAATCAAGCGCCGAATTTAGCTGGTTGAATTTGAATAGGAATATGACCCCAAATGAAGGCATCACTGTGTTTGTCCTCAAGGTCTATCCGGTATGATTATGCACACATAAGTGTACATGCCGAAATGAGTGAAGTCAACGCTAAGCTCCAACAAGCACCGTCGCGCACTTTTATTGACAATATGCTTTAGCTGGATTACTGAGGAGGAAACCGAAGGTAAGGCACGTGGGGGAGTAGTAGTGGTGGTGGTGGTAACATTGGTTGGTGATATCCATTTCCGGATTCACCTGTCTCTGTGACTGCGCACAGTCACATGATGTATGCACCAACAGGGTGCTCATGCGTGGTTTGAATTGCACGGTGTTTGAAATG